AGATTGCCAGTCAAATTTGGTGGCATCACTGTGCTGTGTTAGATTTTCATACTGTCTCAAAGGCCACCTGCAAACAAGGCAGGCCAAGCAGGCTCAGGAGAGTCAATCCCTCTTAGAGCTGTAGGGTCTGGTGCTGGGACAGCAGGTTCCTTTGTCATGGGAAACGGTTATCCTTGTGGTTGGGAGAGGACAGGAAATGTCTTGGGCTGGTGACTTGATCCCAGCTGCGAGAGCACAACTGTAGGATAGTGTGTCATCGATCATATCTGTTTTACTCCTGAGCACCCCAAAATCACTCACCTAGTACCATTGTTCCCTTCCTACAGATAAACCAAGGTCTCTCTAGAGCCTGGCTTGCCACTTATTTTGCTCTCATGTTTACCTTCTTGCTTTGAAAGTGCTGTATTAAAGGAGAACTGATTCTAACAATGGGATTATCTAAACCAGTATTTCCTTATGGCAGCAAGTTGATGGTTTATCTTATCCCAAAACTGCTTTCAGGACTGTGTTAAATTCATGGTCATATATAAGGAGTTGGTGTACACCAGAGAAATCAGATGTAAATTAAATCAAACCATTCCACTGAGCAGCCTTCTTGCAGCCCTGGACCAAATCAAGCTGTGGTAGAAGTTAGAGGCATTATTTCAAGGATTAATTTGAACCTACCTGATATTGCACAGGCCTCTATCAGGATTCTACCTTTGCTTCCTGGGCTTAGGAATTTTGCAGCAGTTTTCAGTCTCTCACTGCTGTTCTAATTTTGTAGTTGTCAAATGTGTGCAGCACAAAATGATACCTAAAGAGCAGCCAGTAATGCAGCTGTATTCCTTGTGTTTGCCTTGCCTGTGCCATGTGTGTCCCATGCCTTTGCCCTCCTCTCCTCTTTCGCACTGTTACCTGCACAGCCTCAAGCAGTGGTTTGGGGAGGGAAAACCTGAAAGCACATTGCTTTCTCTCTGCCTCCCTCTTCTCCTTAAGTGTAGGTGCACAGCTACATCTGCAGAGGAAGGAGAGGATCTACACATTTAGGGGGAAGTGATGAGGTCAGGCACTTCCAGATCCCACGGTCTTCAGGGCTGAGGGAGGTGTCCTAACATGTGTTAACTGGGATGAAGGATCCAAGGAACACCAGTCCATAAAGAGGGTAGGAAGTTCATGGGGGTAGAGAGACTGTCACCCTCTTGCAACCTGGATGGTCCCTTGCAGAAAAGGTATAAAGATACTGTATTAAGTGTTGATATAGCAGCCCTGTTGGGGGTTGTGAGGGTCGACTGGTACCAAAATTGCCGCTGTCTGGATGGCAGAGCAAGGACATTGTGCTGAGCCTTGCAACTCCAGAGTTCCTTTCTGGGCACTGAGGTGGGACAGAGGCAGTTCTACAAACAAGGAGGGTTTTCTCTCCCCATTCTAGTGGAGTAATATGCAATTAGTATCCATATGTTCTCAGCTATTAAGCTCGTGCCCTTTAGATTATTTATGTAGCTTGGAAATTTCTGTAGGCTCTGCTGCTCCTCTCTGTCATTTGTTAATTGCTGCATTGTATCATTCCTCCCTACTCCCGGTCCTTATTAACATATTTCAGGAGGGCCATCTGCCCACCCCAACTGCCTGTAACCTCAGGAGGGCTGTAAGACACGCGGCGTCTTCCCAGAACAACCTTGTTTTTCACTGGCACTGCGTGAAGGTAAAGAGGGACAGCAGCTGACTTCTGCTGTGAGTTTCCATGTAGTAAATCTGAGGGATGTACAGGGGAAAGGGAGCTGTCAGTAAGGAGCAGCGAAATCTCTGGCAGAGTAGACATGCCCTTGCAGGCAGCTGTCCCGCCTGCATGTGGCTGCGCAGATCCTGCTGCCTTAGTGAAACCCTCCCCAGGAGAGGTGCGAGGTGTTTGTGCACAGGTGGTGCAGGGAACAATTCCTGCTTCCCCGGCAAAGGGTTGAAGGAGTGTAAGCCCGAGCTGGTGGTGGCAGTATAGTGTGGGTCTCCTTATGAGTGAGGTAATGTACTCTCTGGATAAAATGGTTGGGTTTGGTTTTTGTGTATCCTGCATTTTGTCTGACAGGATTTTGACAAAGTGTTTGAAATGGTGCCAAAAATAAAAATTATCAATAACCTTTTGAATGTGGACCTCATGTTAAAAATGAGAAGTGCTAAAAGAGCGGACATAAAAAGAGACATAGTTGTGAAGAGGCTGGTGAGACACGACAAATGCTTTCCTGTACAGGACTGAGCTTATCTAGTATTTTTAAATGACTTTGTAAGAGGAGTTGTAACACTATAGGGAGAGTCCCAGTCAATCTTTGTGCAGAAGAGCCCCAAACCATGTGAAAACAGAACTCATTACTCAGGAGAATTGAATTGTGTTCAAATGCTGCATCAGAGCTGAAATGCAAAGAAACATGGAAACCTGCTGATCAAGATTTGAACACCACTTTGTTCCATATTTGCAGTGAAAATGAAGGTGTCTAGAGAGAGGCATTAGGTATGACAAATCTGTTTCTGAAGCACTTGATATATTAGAAGGGTTTCTGATGACTTTCAATGAAGGCTGTGAACCTAAATTTAGTAACTTTAGGACTAGCAGGTCTTGTGCAAAAATGAAACGGAACTGTGAGTTCTTAGAAATCTTATGTAAAGGGAAGGGGAAAGCAAGGAAGATCTTACTGGGTTTATGGTGTGCTTCTATGTGGTAACATTGTCCATAGAAGTGATCAGAGGGCAGTAGCGAGGATCCCTTGCTGCTTAAATCTCAGGAGGATGAGTCAGATCTCTGGGCTGGGATTCTGCAACTGCCTCGGGTGGGTCATGCAGCAGTTGGCCATTTTGCACTTCTGTATGTTATTTAAACAGTAGCAGCAGACTAGAAATTAATACTGAGTACTTTTGAATCTTTTCTATGTCTATATATAAAAGCATGTCCTGAATGTGGGACAGCTTTGAAATCTAAGTCACAATATAGAAAATGCTTGACCTGAAGGGACATAGGGGACCTTCCCTGACTCTTCTGGGTGAGTATAGCCCTGTATCTTCATGTCTCTGCAAAAGAAAAACAGGATCCTTTCAAGGGCAGCACAGGCTGTCCCTGTTGTCCCCATTGGTGTGTAACGACAACATGTAAGTACCTTAAAACATAAGACAGGCTACAGCCTATCTTGGGAAGCTGAGGCAGAGAATCCATAAGCATATCTTACGATGTTGCTCAGCAGACCAAGGGACACAAGGCACTTTGCAACTGGACTTGCCAGAACAGAAACAGGCAGAGCCAGCAACAACTTCCAACTTTACTTGGCTTTAATTGCTCACTTCTTCTGTATTTGAAGGTTGCTGCCTCACCTGCAGGCAGAGTGCCTCATACTGAAAGTGCTACCAAAGTATGATTTAATTAGTCACTAACATAATTAATTAATCCTAATTAATCCAGTACAGAACCTCAGCTCTAACTGTACCACAACTAAAGCACTCCTGAGGTGGTTTTAATTATCTTGTTATGCATATCTATCACTAAAGATTCACAATAGCCAGCTAGGCCAAGTGCCTGACCACAAAGAAACGAGGAGCTGGTTTGATCACAGAGCAATGATGAAAGGACATTGAGATGTGCAAAAGCACAGCCCGGCTCCTCTCACACAGTGTCATGCAGCTGCTGCTGCAGCAGCGCAGAGAAAGATTATCAGTGAGATAACAGGGTTGGCAGCATGTAGTATTTGCTTGATGAAATACTCAAGAACAGTAATAGTGCTCTTGGTGTCAGAGTGCCAAGTGTGCAGTGTCACTGCTATGCCTTTATTTCTCTGGGCAGGTTGGAGTGTGGAGGAAGCACAGATAGCTCTTCTGTCAGCATCTGAATGGTAGCAGGTGCTTGGTGTACTCAGGGTGGAGAGTATGAAATGGGATGTTTAGAGGGTTTTCTGCAAATGGGGAACTGGTTGTTATATACAGTTCTGATCTGCAGACATGCTGGCATTTGGTGCTACACACAGTAATACAAAGACAGCAGGGTGTTTCAAAAGCTCAGAGGAATACGGGGAATAAAGCATGGACACATACAGGGGTCTAGCCCTGAAGAAAGTGTGAGCTGTACACAGATTTGCACATTTGGTGTACAGAATGAGGGTGCAGTATGGTGTGAGTCACCATTCCTGGGAGCATTCAAAAAACGTGGTTATAGCACTTAAGGAACATGGATTAATGATGTATTTGAGTGGACTTGATGATCTTAAAGGTCTTTTCCAAGCTTAAAAATGGTGCTATGATAGAGTGAATTATTTTGGATGGTGAAGAGTGGGATATTTACAGCGCATAGTGTGTTGTGTCAGTGTAGTGTGAGTGTAAGGAGCACCCGGAAGAGTAGGTGTGCCTGCACACTGGGCTGGTGTGGAGGTGCAGAGCAGTTTAAGATGAAATCCTGTAAATGTAGAGGCACACGAGACTGTGCCGACATGAGCTGTGCCTGGCAGGGTCAGTACTGTGTGGAGCACTGTGCTGCAGAGCCGAGAGCTCTGGGTGCTGTGTAGAGCTGTGAAACTGTGGAAGGTTATCAAGAGGAAAGTAGAGTGTGGAGGGCTGTGTAAAGCGTGCTGGTGTGGAGCTGGTGCACAGCGGGAGGGCAGGTGCATGGAGAGGGCTGAGTGTGGGGTGAGGGACAGGGCTGGAGCTCCGGGTGAGGGGCTGCTGTGCCAGGACAGGGCTGGAGCTCCGGGTGAGGGGCTGCTGTGCCAGGACAGGGCTGGAGCTCCGGGTGAGGGGCTGCTGTGCCAGCACAGGGCTCGGGCAGGGCTGGAACTGCGGGTGAGGGGCTGCTGTGCCAGCACAGGGCTCGGGCAGGGCTGGAGCTCCGGGTGAGGGGCTGCTGTGCCAGGACAGGGCTCGGGCAGGGTGCGGGCAGCCGAGCGGGGCAGAGGCGGGATGGGGTAGGTGTGCCGGGCCGGGGAAGGGGCGGGGAAGGGGCTCGGCGCTGCCCCGTGCCGTGGCGGAGGAGGCGGTGGCGCTGGGCAGGGTCCGGGCGAAGGCAGGAGCGCGGCTCAGCGGCTCCGGTGGGGCCGAGCCGAGCCGAGCCGAGCCGAGCCGCGCCGAGGGGACCATGCCGTCCTACACCGTCACGGTGGCCACGGGCAGCCAGTGGTTCGCGGGCACCGACGACTACGTGTACCTGACCCTGCAGGGCACGGACGGCTGCAGCGAGAGGCACCTCCTGGACAAGCCCTTCTACAACGACTTCGAGCGCGGCGCGGTGAGTCCCGCGGGCGCTGCCGGCGCGCCCCGCGCACCCTGCGGCAGCACCGGCACCGGCACCGGCACCGGCACCGGCACCTGTCCGCCGGCCCCGGGGCTGTCTGGGCTGCGCCTGCTTTAGGCTCCTCTCTCCGGCTGCCGGTGCTCCGCAGCGGGACCCCGAGACTGACACCCGCTGCCCTCCCCGGCTGCCCATCATCCGCATCCCTGCCCTAGGATTAGCCCTGGCTGCGCTCAGTCACGCCTTGGGAAGGATGGGGCTCTTTGGTTCTGACTTACAATGGGCTTTCAGATGTCCTCACACTTTCTTTACAAATACTAAAAAAAAAAAAACATAATATGTTTCTTGTTGATAGGTGATGTTTAAGGTCAATATTTTACTAATAGTCAGAGTTCTGTTATCTCCAAAGAATTAAACAGAGAGGTAAGAGCATCTAGTGGGAAGATGAAGTGCCAAGAGAAATGTGGTGTAGGGCAACGTCAATGAAAACTGAAAAACAGCATGAATGTGTGAGAATGAAGTTGTGGCTGGGCTATCAGCTGTGCTCTTCTTCTTAGCCCAGATGTCTGCTCTTAGCTGTGCCCTGTCCTCGCTGTGGTCCTGTCATAGTGTTTCAACTATCCAAATGGAATTGCTTGTACTCTGAGCATTGGTTTAGAATGACATTTATTTATTTGCTTATTGTTCACTCTGGAAATAATAGACTTAACCCCCCCCCCCCCTTCCAAAATGTGTATTTTACCTGGAAACAAAATTCACAGTTTCTAGAAGGTCTGATGAGATAGAAACAACTTTGAAAGTTTTAAAAAGCTATTCAGAAGTTTGGAAGTTAGACCTCCCACCACATGTACAAGTGAGTCTTCAGTGTCATAGCGCTGCTTTGCCTTGAGGTGTGTTTTTTCAACCATGTGGTTCACAGCCTGAATTAGGTCCATGGTCTCTTCTGTGTTAAACATCATGGACACACCTAACAGAAGTCAGCATTTTGAGTAGGTGTTGATGGTATGTGTGGTTGTCGTCCCCCAGATATTTACCAGCCACTGCTGCTGAAGTTGATTTTTTTTTCTTTCATGATTAAACATTCATTAGCTTAGGACCTTGTTACCTGAATCTTCCAGTGGACATCCAGTCACTGTTTCTTTCTTATATGCTGAATAGTCACATACTTTAGGCAAAATTGAACAACATTAGCAAGAGAGGTTGACGGAGACCTCAGACTGTCCTGCAAAGTTAGAGTTTAGGGTGCTCTCCCAGGAGGGCTGAGCCTTGCCCAGCTGAGGAGATCACCAGGGTTTTACTGACCAGGCAGTTTGCTCTTATTCCTGGGCTGCAAAAGAGGGTTTCGGGTGGCTCTGATGGAGAGCCTGGTAGTACTCTGAGCATTCAGTTGGGCTGGATCCTGTCACGGGGAGAAAATGCCATGATGGGAACATTCAGTGTCTGCCCAGCAGCAATTGGGGAGCTGCTGTGGGACCAGACCCCTGCTAGGTGAGGGAGCAACAAACAGAGGGTGTGGGTGTTAGTAGCAGTCAGTTTTTCAGTATGTATTTATTGTGGACCATCAGAGTAAGTCTGTGTTCTGTAAAGTGTCCGGCTCACTGGACACTCGCAGTACAATGTGCAATGTTTTGGTTTTGAGGATGTTTTCTTGGGGAATGCAGCATGTTTTTCCAGGCACCTGTTCAGGTTATATTGTGCCCAAAACACTGTATCTTAATAACATGTTGTACAAGGGAAAGAAGGAAAGAAAAGAAAAATACCAGTACAGAACCAGAAAACTAAAACTGAGGAAGGCTAGAAGAGTTTGAGTTTGGTTGGTTTGCAAAATGCAGCAATTGTTTTCACAGTTCTGCCTTTAGTGCTTCTTTCAATGCCATCTTTATTTTTTTTTTCTGCAAAGCAATTCAATTGTTAATCATTTTCTAAAACAAGGATCAGCTTTTAGTGGATGAGCAGAATTTTGTAGCGTTATTTTGTAAGTTGTTGTCTTTTCAGGTTTGGGTTTTTTTCCCCTAAATGTTGGGCCAGGCTCTGTAGTTACATTATCCTCATAATGTCTTCATTTGCATGATTGCAAATTGGGCATATTACTAGATGTGATTAAAGAGGGCCTGGGCCACATCTGAGTGGGAGATTTGCATGGCAAATGTTGACTGAGGGAAAAATATGTGGAAAACCCTGAAGGAATTTGCACAATGGTAGCTCAGTTATAGTTTTTCCGACTCACTTCAAGCCCTGGACACAGGCAGTGTTAAAAGTCATAGTTTCTTTTCTTTTAATATTGTCTTTTGAGTAAATTCCTCTGGTGCTGAGTGATTTCAGAGTTTATGGTGTCCCTCAGTTCTCTCTTTCCTTCCTGTTCCCCTTTCATCTGCTTTTTTGCTTTTGCTTAACGAAAAATACTAACATGTATCTCCAGAAAGGAAATACAGCTCTTTGTACTTAGAGCTTTATGCTTAAAAAAAGAGGACTTGTCCTGTGCCATCCTTTTTCCAATATAAGAATGGTCAGTAGGAATCTGTCCTCAAAAAGAGACTCAGGTTTGGCATGAGATTAAATTGCTTGAACAGCAAGGTACAGGAGTTTGGACAGTTCAATAGTCTTCATTACTTCTGTTCTCTCACTCTGCCCTCGAAGTTTATAAACCTCCTTGTATCTCTGGTTCACCATACAGCCATCCTGATGTTTATCAAGGGACTTCATACAACAAACGTCATAGAAACCTTGAGCAACCAAGTGTCAGTTCTTACCTGCACCTTGTGCATTCTCTGTAACCTGACACACCTTTATCGTATTAACAAAATTGTCATCTGAGGTGAGCCCATGGCAGCACAGGCTTGGAGGCAGCAGAAGCTGTGTGAGATACCAGGAGGGAGCCCTCCCTTTCAGAACTGCCATTAAAATCGGAATTGTGATGGTCATAAGAAGATTTAAAACTTCCAGGATCATTTAGGTTAATGTCCTTCTTGCATTACATCAACAGTAACTACTTTAGGGCTCTTGTAATATAGGGATGTAGGCTGTTACCAGAGGAATGAGTTTCTTTTGAAAGTTGTCTGTCAATGTGACATTTCTATCAACTCCTTGATCTGATTCATATTGTTCCTTAATTTAAATCTTATGTGTACATATTTCTGGGTGTGACATTGTACTTAAATTCCATTGTACTTCTGAGCCTTACAAACATAAAATGTATAATTTTCCAAATTTTAGCTGTACAAACAGAAAATGTGCCATTGTCCCCATTTGAAAAAGAGAGAACTGAAGAAGACCAGGAAACAAAAGATGAAGTGGATTTAGGTGATCTGGATACTGTCCTTAGTTGAAGCACACATAATTAACACACAAAGGTCTTTAAATTCCTAGTCCAATGTTCAAATCTCTTTAACATCTTTCCACTCCAGCTGCATGACTAGATGTGTCCTAGTAGTACCTCCTTCAGCTCTTGCTAGGAGAGTAGTGAATGGTTTCATTTGCCTGCATGTTTTTCTAAGACTTGCACACATTTCAAGGAGTAATACTGGTTTTAGGTAGCATCCAAAAATGTTTCTCCATTTGTGGAGTGTTTTGCATGTTATTGTTTGTTCTTTTTTTCCATCTTTCTTTTGCACTGCAGTCCAATAATAGGACTTCCTTTTTTCACCCACAAGAAGCTGGAAAACTGTGTGAAGAAAGACTAGGTGTGTCTGGGTAGTGCTGCTGGTGCTTTCTGCATATGCAGTGGATCACTGGCTGTGTTCTGCTCTGCAGGTTGACTCCTATGATGTGACTGTGGAAGAAGACCTTGGAGAAATTCAGCTAATAAAAATTGAGAAACGAAAATACTGGTACCAGGATGACTGGTACCTTAAGTATATCACTGTTAAAACACCAGTGGGTGACTATTTGGAGTTCCCATGTTACCGCTGGATTACAGATGAAAAGGAGGTTGTCCTTCGAGATGGAAGAGGTGAGATCTATTAGAAACCAGATTTCCTGCAGAACACCTGGAATTCTTCCATCTTTCCTTCCCATTTCTCCACATGCTTCCCAATCTTCTCCCTCCGATGAAGACCCTCTGCCAGTCCCCTGCTGCATCCTAGAGAGTGGGCTTTCCCTACTAGGAATACTTCCTGAGCAGCTTGTTGGGCTAGGCACTGGCAGTTGGGTTGGATGTTTTGGGAAGCACATACAAGGAAGAGTCCTAATGCTGGCTTGTTACACTGGTCTTGAATTTGAAGGTTGAACCCTAGTGCCAAATTTGAGACTACTCCACATCCCCAATTGCTGGAAGCCCTTTTGATCTAATTAGAATTAGTGTTCCCTGATTGTTTCATTCTAAGCTCCCAAGTGGCTCATGATTAATTGCCCATAAATTGTCTTGTTTACATGAGAATGAAATAAAATCCCAAAGTTGCTCAGCAGGTGCAAACTGAAAAAGCAACTTACTTTTCATTCATTCGCTTTGCATGCTGTTAGGTCCAGGACAAGGCAGGGTGATGGATTTGACTGCTCCAAGTAATGGTGACCAGCTGAGAGAAGTGTTTTTAAGTGTCTCTGACACTTACTTGCCATAACCAGGCGTTTGGTCAGACATTTGTCACTGATGTTTGCTTGTTCCTCTCTCTGGTACCTGGGGTAGGTTGGCTACTGTTGTGTTCTGAGTGCTTGAAAACAGCTGAAACAAGTGTGAGGTGGTAGGAAATAAATGTTTATATTCCCTGTACATTTTTGGCCACTCCTGGCTGGGGCATTTTGTGTTTGAAGTCTTTTGTCCTATAATGACAACTATGTGTCTGTTCATTTTTGGTCTTTCAATTTTTCACAATTTGCTTTATAGCAACTGTACCACTTCCATGGAAGGCAGCTTTTTGTGGCTTTCAGAACATGGTGAGGTAAAGGACAAAAGCAAGTGAAACTTTCTTGGTAACTTGGACACAACCACCTGGAAACCATTAGCCATGCATGTTATCAGCTGTATTACCTCTGATATTTTCAGCCCCAAACCCAAACAGCTTTTATCATGAAACTTCTGCTGGTTTTATCTGCCTCCACATTTGTGTATGTAAAGTGACTCTCGTACCTTGCCCTTTCTCTGATCATTATGGAAGTCTCTGTAGTATTTAATGTTATATTGAATTCATGCCAGAAGAGCAAAATGTTTGGAACTGAAGTTTCATTGTTTTTTCTGTCTGTTCCCATAACTGGAAGATGTTATTATTGTCCCAAGCTGACAGGGGAGAGCATTGCTCAAGAGGAGAATCTTGGAGATGTTTTCTGCACATGTCTTTTAGCAGAGAAGATGAGCTGGAACAATATTGTGGTTTCTCTTATTGATGGAAATTCCCCTAGATACTGTAAAATTAGTTCCCAAGACTCTCTTCAGACTGTTTAACAATAGATATGGACAGCAAGTTTCTACATTAGAAATCCAAGGTCTATATACAACTGAGACAGATATTCCTAGTTTAAGCTAGTTTCCCCTTGAAAGTACCAAGTCAGGAGTTACCTTCTTCCATAGATTCTCTAAGGACCTGTGTGTCTACTCAAATGTACTAAATTGGGTCATGTAAGCATTTTCCATAGAAACTTTGTAAAGGTATAGATCAGAAGTGTGGAGGTTTGAAAACTTTGCTGTCCTTCTCAACACCATGGGCAGTGATAGGTAGAGGAACCTCATAACCCTGTCTCTTTTCCCTGTTAACAGCAAAGCTCCCCCGAGATGACAAGACTCAGATTCTCAAGCAGCACAGACGCAAAGAGCTCGAATCCCGTCAGAAAATGTACCGGTGAGTTTCCCGCTGCTCCAGGGTTTGTCCTCATCAGGTCAGAGTTTGGCAGAGTATATTCACATTACCACGTGCCTCTAATTACTCAACTGCTGGATAAGAGAGAGCCTAAGTTACCATGTTGGCCATATCGGGTTTTTGCTTAGTTGGAATTCATTGTAAAGGGATGATCATCCCAATGCAAGAGGCATTATGGATACTTGTACCTCAGATAAGCCTGTCTGTGAGACTTCTGTGGGAATTCAGTGATACAGCCTCTGTGTGTGCCCTCTGGCACACCGTTGTGCTTTCAAGGAAAATCTTCAATGAAGATTTGAAGACATATTTCATTTGCCTATTATCAGCAGTACTAGAACATGATCTAAACATGTCAGCTTTTTCTGGAGGTTTTTGACTGCTGCACCAAGCTAGCTTGCATTGTTTCCTGCACCAGGGTGCAGTGAAAACCTTTTTGAGTGAACTGGAATGTGCTAACAGAACACAGTTGTGAGATATAAAAATCTCACATATATATATTATTACATATATGTTTCACATTATTTTTATATATATATGTACACACACGTATGTATTATACATATGTATCACATACATATTATGCTGCATTAGACTTTTTTTACCTAGTCAGTGTTATGATGAGAAAATTCTTTCTTTTCTCAGAGGGTAGCTCCAGAAGGCATTAGACACAGCATTTTGCTAGAGATGTGCTCTGTTAAAAGAACAAAAGTTTCTTGCACTTGTATCTCTTTATTGGGAGAGTAGGGGTGAGGCCAAAAGGGTCTATTCAGAATTGATGGATTGAGGCTTGGTGTAGGTGTTGTTTATTTAATTTGAAAAAGAAAGGCTGTTCCCTACAGCCTATTACAGGAAATAGAGCAGGGGAAAATATGGTTCAAAAAGAGGTGTGCCACAAAATGTTATTTACATATGCAAGAAGGAAGGCAAAACCATTTGTAATTTCAGGGAAATAGCTACTTAAAATTCTGATGCATAGCTGATAATACACAGTGCAGTCTGTGTGTGGCAGGCAGTTTGGAAATACCATCAAAACAGTATTCTGTACAATTCGCTTCTTTTTGTTTTGAAATAAAAATGGGTCAAAGAATGTGTGCCGTGACCATTAAGAGGTTGAACAGTTGGATTAAGACTCCTGGAGAGTGCCTTTTGGAGGAATCTAAATACATGCCTGAGTAATTTTAGCTGCTGTATCTCAGTTCTGCAGAAGTGTAGTCCTAAGAATGAGCATACATTTAAAGCTACTGCCAGTTTCAACCAAATGTGACAAGTGTGTAGATATTAAGTTTCTTCAAGCTTTGTGAAGGTAGGGGGCCAAGTAGATGCCTTCCAGTCTGCTTCAGGATTCTGTGGGGTACTGGAAGGTATTGATGTGGTGTAAAGCACTTGTTTTAGCATGAGTTGGACATAAAACTATTTTCTAGCAGTGAGCCACCAAAACATTAGAGGTAAGGACACAGCTCCCATGCTGATAAGGTTTTATGGTTAATCAAACCTCTCTTATTTTCTCAGCTGGAAGGAGTGGCATCCAGGCTTTCCCCTGAGCATCGATGCCCATTCTCACAGTGAACTGCCTCGTGACATCCAGTTTGACAATGAGAAGGGAATTGACTTCATTCTGAACTACACAAAAGCGTAAGTTTGCAGAATCTCTTTAGGGGCAGGATAAAGATCTGACCACCTTTTAGGTTTCAGTGAATCTCAGAATCGGATTATTTTCTCCAAGTGCTGGATCACCAGCCAATCAAAGTATGAAAGTAGGAATTTAATGGATTTGTTATTTTATTTTTTAGTTATCAATGTTTAAGTTTTTCACACTGGGAACTGACTGAGCCTCTGCATTCTTGTTAGCCATGGTTTTGACTGTAGAGACAGATGGAGACACTGGTGAACACTGGTGGAAAGCATCAGCAGGATACAGGCACCTGGGACCTTGAGGCTTTCACTCATTTCTCAGCATTACTCCCTGGAGATACCTTTCTCCTCTAACTGTTGGTGATAATTGAATCTTCTGGTGGCATACACAAAGAAGATCGTTGTCAATGCACCCTTGACATCCTGCTGGAGAAAATCTCTTCTGAGCAGCTCAAAAGTTATCCACACCTGAGTGTAATCTGCTTGGGGCAGCCAAGTTACTGTCCACCCACTTGCACATATCATGTCATTGAGGAAAACACTGGATGGCCATTGGATGAGCCTGAATAATCAGTCCTGCAGAGCTCTGGAATAGCACAGTGTCAATGAGGCAGATGGGACCTCTCTGACCTGTGAGCCTCCTTCAGTGCTGTCTCAAATGCCCAGGTCATACAACACTGTCTCAGATATCCCACCGTACTATCAGGTGGTGGAATGAGACAAGACTGTCTCATGTCAGAGCATTCTGGGTATTTTATTTATTCATTTGTGCAGCTGAATTCCACTACCAACACAGAGTCAGATCAGCATGGTGTTAGCCGGTGCAAACCAGCTGTTTCCCACCTCATATAGAAGATTTGAGTGAGGCAGGAGCAGCAGCACCGGAATGCCAGAGATGAGAGGTTTGCTATTAGGAGACATAAGCAGTTTGGAGGCTGCGTTCCCCTTCCAGCAATGCCATCCTGCCAGGCTGTGGCATGTTGTCAGAGGTCCTGAGTCACTGCCAAGTGAAACCTGGAAGTGACTCAACAGAGTGCAGGGACATCTATCTTTGTCATTGGCTGTAAGGGGCCCTCCCCATGAAATGGGAACCTGAAACTGTGTTGCTGACAGCCAGCCATTCTGGATAACTGGTATGATGCAAACAGATTTTTCTAAGCGATGGCAATGCTTCTTGTCTGGCACATTTGGCTGAAAAATCTAGACCTATATTTCTGGTCAACTGAATTGTGAAAATCTTTGGAGAAGAGTTTAATAGCCCTTGTCTAGCTACCCTGATGTGCTTTGGGAGATGGGAACAACTGTTTGCAGGAATGGAGTGGGGAAACGTGGGGGGAGGCATGGGGCTTGTCTTCAGTTTGAGTGCAATAGGAAGGAAGACAGAGAGGTGTGTCTGGAAATCCAAAGGCAAAGTATAGCAGTGGGCAAGGAGAACTTTTTAGGGAATATGTGAGAGCTGGGAGAGTTATATAAGACATAGGAAGTCATGGAAGAAGTGAGGGGAAAACCCTTTTTCTTGGGACATGCAGAAATGGACTTAGAGGGAGATACATCTCAGATATTCTTTATGCTGTTGCAAGGTGGGGTTTTTGGATGCTATTGACAGTGGATAACTCTATAAGGTTAAAGGATTAATTGTGTGTAGGTGGAGATAATCCTGAAAGTCTGGTGCTGACGTGATCTACACTCTCTAGGAAATGGAAACTCTCAGCCTGGATTCTGTGCCAGAAATGCAGGCTTGTGTAGCTATTTTGGACCAGTGGTGCATTTGGGTAGATTAAATTCTACAAGCAGCTATGACTTTTTTTTCCTTCCTCTGGTTTCTAGTGTGAGCCAGAGACTTCCAAGTATTTGATTTCTTGAGGAAAGCATACTTTTGTTTCCTGAGTCCTTTGGAAGGACTCAGATAGGAAGATAGGAAAGATAGGAAATGTGAAGGATTTCCTCCTTTTGGAAATAATCGTCAAAACATCTGAGAATGGATGTGTGCTTGGTATACAGCATGTCAAACTGCAGCAGGTTTGTGACCAGATCCCAGGTGCTGTGCCTGCTGCTTGGTTTGATCAGTAGCCCCAGGGAGGAAGCGCATCTTGGGCAGGAGAGGAGCAGTACAAATCTGCTTTTATGTCAAAGGTTTTCTTAGAGTAGTTCTGAAGGAGGGCAGAGGTTCTGCAGGACTTTTAGTGGAAACTCTCAAATGAGACAGTCTCAAGTGACTCTACTCAAGCTATTGAGTTATGTTTATAAAAGTAATTTAACCTTCTGATACCTGGTCCCTATCCAGAAAGTCCTGCTCAGCAGTTACCCTTGCTTTGATCCTTGTACAGTGATTCTGTGTCCCTGTTGGGTGTGAGAAGACCTCTGGAGAGGCCATCACCTGTTCTAGCCTAGACAGTTGTGTGACTTTTACTTCCAAACATGCCTCCAGGCACCTCTTACCCTTGGCTGCCATCTGCAGCTGCAGAAGCAGCCCATTGTACATGCAGCCCTCCTGGGCTAAGTGCAGAAACAGCTCCTTTGTCTGCACTGGGGTCATGCGGGTCTAGAGCCCTGCTTCTGGTAGCCACTGGCAGTTTCTCCAGCCAGTTCTGATCCAGTCTTTTATATATGTTTGCTGATTATAAAACCAGCCTCCTGGGATTCTCCTCAAATTCTTTTTGGGAGGCCTTGGTGCAACACCGACTTCACTTTGTTGTCTTCTCTGTGTACCTTCATGTGCTGTGTGCACTTTTATTTGTGCTTCTGAAGTGTTAGTGGGAAGCCAACTTTCTTTTTCAAGTTCATTATTTGCTTTCTAGTCCAAGTAAATTATTTCCATCTAGTAACAACAGTTTAGCATTTATGCAATAATTTAGGACTCGTCATTTCATATAAAGGGAACTGGTTTGGCTCTGCTGTATTTGCTGAATTAGCAGATAAATTCAGACATTTCTGGCTCCCAGCCCACTGTATTCATGTGATGTGTGCAACAATTCTAGAATGGAGTTCTGTAAATGCAATAGCAGAAATTGGGCTGTTGACATGCCTTTCAGCCTTGTGTAGCCTGCAATATTAATTCTGTAGGGTGACTAATCCCACATTCCATTACTGAAAGTTTATTGTCTTTAGATATATAAAAACATTGAAAAGAATAGGAATGGGTATTATTGAGAAAGCTGAAGATTATTTTTTCCAGATATATTTTGTTTTGGTTTATTTTTAGGATGGAAAATCTTTATATTAACCGTTTCATGCACATGTTCCAGTCCTCCTGGAGTGATTTTGCAGATTTTGAGAGGATCTTTGTCAGAATCAGCAACACAATCTCTGGTGAGTTTACTAAAATTTGCTCGTGTTTGCGTCATAGAGTGACTAATTAGTTGTCTTGTTCGATCATCTGATTAGGATGGATGTTGCTGACCTGCTCATCTGCGCTCCAATAAATAAACTGTATTTTCTGAAGTTTTACTCTTCTTCAGGCTGCCTAGGGATCAATTCACAGAAATAAGAGTAATTATGTTTTTCTTGGGATAAACCCAAGCACACAAGGTGGCAGAAGTATTAAAAACTAATTACAGCAATTTGTTGCATTTAATAAGATTGCTTCCTAAAGTACTTTTAACACAAGAATTAGATATGATCTACAATTAATTTCGTTGATAATATTTCTATACTCATGAGGAAAGCTCCAATTCTGTGTTATTTAAACGTTACGCATTGGTCTCAGTTATGTTAATACAAATCTCCATTTGCTTTTTTGCAAAAACAGGGATATCCCTTGTCAGAAACAGGGATAATGGAGAAGGTGGTTCAAGGCATTTTTCAGTCATGCCACTTCTGTCCAAGGGGCTGAGTAACTTTTTTCTTGGTGTAGACTTCAGATACAGCTCCAGACTCATTAGGCAGTTGATGGAGATAATGTAAATGTCATTTTATATAAACTTAACTTTTTTCTGCTTTATGAAAAAGCATTGTGGGTTTTGAGACTTTTTTTTTTTAATTATCACTGCATTCCCTTGGGGCCTACATTTTTAATATTTTTACCCTTTTTAGAAAAAATAATTGCTTTCAGAAAAATCCTGCCTTGTTTAAAACTAGCCAGTAGTGGAAAACATCACTACCTTCATTTTCCCCCGGAAGACACCAGTGGGATTTTTTGTATTAACTGAAGCAACAACATGACATTACAAAACAGAGCACAGCAACTATAGAAAAGAAGTAGTACTACATATGTAATAATAAAGAGATGGACTATCCAAAACTAGAATTTATTGAGATGTTCATCTGGATTTATATCAGCAATTGAAAAATAAATAAAGGGAAAACAAGTCAAACAAGCAAAACAACAAATGAGGAGTTTTACTGAGTCAGGACCCAAATGCTTCCCCAAATTTCCCTCACCCAGCTCTAGCCTAAAACAACTGCTCCGGCCACTGCTATTCTTTCCCTACACACATTGGTATGTATTTCCCTTCTCCTGCTTGTGCCACCTGTTTTTGAACTTATCCCTCTTTACTGCATGCCCTGTGAATTTGAAGAGGGGAATTTAAAAATTTCATGGAAGACCATGAGAAGGTAGTTTACAGATGAAGAAAGTATTCTTTATAAAAGTGGAATATTTTATTCTTCATTGTTTCTGTACATGGAGAAACAAATTATCATCAATTTAATTCTTCTCAGTGTGAGAAGCAAGAATTAAATTTTCCATTTAACTTCAGTGATATTTCTTAAGTCTTAAGGAACCTTTCAAATCCTTTCCTTGCTGCTTTCTGTATTCAAAGTTGCAGTGCAGTATAACAAAAAGGCAAGGAGGAATCCTACAATGCAGAAGGTGTTGATGCTGCAAAATATTGATGCTGCGGGTTTGTTTTTCCTTTAGAATATGTGATGCAACACTGGAGGGAAGATTTTATGTTTGGCTACCAGTTCCTGAATGGATGCAATCCTGTGCTGATCCGGAGATGCACAGAGATACCCAAGAAGCTGCCTGTGACCATGGATATGGTAGAATGCAGTCTGGAGAGGAACCTGACACTGGAGGAGGAAGTGAAGGTATAGCTCTGGGTCAGGCTGAGCTCCACCTGTTCCTTCTCACATCCTCTAATCTCCAGAGTCTGTTCTTACTGCCTTCAGCCACATCTGCTTTCTTCAGGATGTGTGATAGGTCATGGCAAAGCTGTTTGTCTCTGCAGACTGGCAGTGCTCCTGCTGTCCTGGAGCTGCAAGCCATGCCTGTCTCCAGGTCCAGTGGAAGAGCCGTAACCTGGAGATGAACAGTCCTTTGTCACTGGTTTTCTCTGAAAGGATAGGGATTGGCTGGATGCCTCAGAGGGAAAAGGTGCCTCTTCCTTTCCTGCGAGGTCTTTCCCACTAACATGCTGAAGAAGCGTTGACAAGGATGGTGCCTTGCTTTTGTTTGTACAATTAACACAGGGTTCTCTTCAGCTGGCAGGGTGAAACCTGCCTGCATCTGCATGAGAACCAAACACATAGATGCTCTTTGCTGAAAGGCTCACTGCCAGACACAAGTCAGGTAGTTTGTGCAATGGTACTTGCTGTCTCAATGGTATCATTCTTGAGCTGCCATGAACAAGGGCAGGCCAGGGGTAGCTTGTAACCACCAGGCTCATGTCAGTTTCTGGTCAAAATTTCCCATTCCTTTGTTCCAAGCTGCTTGCATATCATTAAAACACATCGTGCATCTCTTTTTTCTTTTGATTGTTTGTGGTTTTTTTCCCACAGCAAGGAAACATTTTCATTGTGGACTATGAGCTGCTTGATGGTGTGGATGCCAATAAAACAGACCCGTGCACAATACAGTACTTGGCTGCACCCATCTGTCTGCTGTATAAGAATCTGGAGAAAAAAATTGTACCCATTGCAATCCAGGTGGGCTTGATGTCAGGGTCTTTAGAAGGTCACACTGTTTGTTGTCTCATTTTAAACATCAAGGACTTGGGGTTTCACGTTCTTTTTATATCTTTCAGCTTGGTCAAAAGCCTGGACCAGACAATCCCATCTTCCTTCCTTCAGATGCCACATATGACTGGCTGCTAGCTAAAATTTGGGTCCGCTCATCTGATTTCCACATCCACCAGACAGTGACCCACCTCTTACGGACACACTTAGTCTCAGAGGTGTTTAGCATAGCTATGTTCCGGCAGCTGCCTGCTGTACATCCCCTCTTCAAGGTTAGTTCTTGCATGAAGGGAGGGTGTATGTGGGGTGGGGTGGGGTGGGGTGGTTATCACATTGGTTGGACAAACCCAAAGGAAGTTCTGGTGATCGTTCAGCTGAAATAGTTTAATTGGCCGCCCTGCAAGATAAGATACAGCTAAACCACCAGGACTTCAAGCTTTACATCTGGCTGCTGTCGAATTCAAACTGAGAAGTTTCCTTCTTTCATTGTTTGTTTCATTCCACAGCTCTTGGTGCCACATATGCGGTTCACAATAGCCATCAATACCAAAGCCCGAGAACAGCTTATCTGTGAATGTGGCCTTTTCGACAAGGTAGGTAAACTCCTTGTGAACCTTCATTGTTCACAGCAGTCCATCGTTATTCATGGTTCTTTGCTCTTTATGGTTCCATATATACAAATCCTGTAATCATCATATATTGCCTTGTTCCCTGACCATTCTATTAAAGGGCAAACATAAGTAATGCCACCTGAGAAATGGGCACACAGAACTGATGCCTTACTGTGCTAAAAATGTTCTGCTTTACCTCTACGTAGCCAAATCAGAGCTGGCCAATGTCTGTCAGTATCTCACTCATTGCTGATGTGCCTTTGGGTTATAATACAGGAGTGCACATAAATTCCTACATATGTATCCACATAGTTAAGCCCCCAACTTCTTTTAAATACTCAGTTATTCATCTGTGAGCAAAGGGATTTGTGACTGCAAATGGCAATCTTCATCACAGAAAGACATGTAGGTAAGACAGATTTCTAAGACCACAAAGAGTGTGTTTGGATTGCAGACTGTCTTCTTGAGTCACCAGACCTGCTGGGACTGAATGTCAGCTCCATCTGAGCCAGTGTCATACCTTGTTTGTCATACCTTTATCAATGGTTTGGGTGAGGGCTGGCATGCATCCTCAATAAGTTCACAGGTGACACCAAGCTCGCTGGGAGAAATGGAATGCCACATTTAGGAACTGCAGCAGCCTGGCACACAGCAGCCTCTGTGACAGCAAGCTAGGAGGTTTCAGAAGCCCTTTCAAAGAGGGAGCCTGTGTTTCAGAACGCCTCTGTCCTCATTACACCACTGGCACCAGGCCAAAAAGAGCTTCCTTGCTTCAGAGTTTTTCACCCAAGCAGAATAGAGAGGTTAAATCCAGACACCTTTCCTTGTTGTCTATACTCCACTGCTGACTGTGGAGACTTTGCATCCCTTTAAACAGAAGTGTTATGTTCATATCCCATGGACTGTGTGGGTAATACCTGCCAGCAAGGATCTGGAGTTCCAGAATTTGTTGTTTCCAATGCAAACAAACAACCAGCCAGAGGACAGTAAATGTAAGGTCACAACTACTACAACACTATATCATATGCTCGAAAAGCAGCTTTTGGGAACTCTTGCACATCAGATAATCACTTTGCAAGTGATTATCTGAAGAGTTTGGCAGTGCTGTCTGCTGTGGACACGTTGTGTTTTTCAAATGTAACATACACTGAAACACTGGCCTCTCCTCATTAGTAGCAACCCAGCAGGATTGACCTCCTGGCATTATTTCCAGGGTGACTAAGGGTAGCCTGCATCCCTAAAACCTTGCTCCTAAACTACTCTGTAACAGCACTGGCAGTTTAACTTAAGCCCTCTTCTAAACACACTCAGGGCTGCCTTCCTTCACACATGCACTGGTACTGAGCATAGGGCTGCAGGGAGCAGCATGCTTTGATGCTGCTGTACTTTATTAGTGTATTTCAGTATAAGCAGTACCTGTGGTGCAAATGTGGGTATTAACAGTGATTCATGGGAGAGGTGTGAAATCCCTACAGACAAAATGCACAGTTCCAGTAGACCTCTGCAGTTTGGTACTTTGTGTGGAGATGTGGTTTTCTCCTTGAAAAACAGATTCACCAGCATTCTGTATCCCATCTCCTGCAAATTTGTAAAGCCAGTCTTGGCACATAGGGAACATAATCCCCTACTGTTCCCATCTTGCTGTTCTTCCTGCAGGCAAATGCTACGGGTGGAGGAGGACATGTACAAATGGTGCAGAAAGCAATGAAGGATCTGACTTATAGTTCCCTCTGCTTCCCTGAGGATATCAAAGCTAAAGGAATGGACAGCAAAGAGGATATCCCCTACTACTATTACCGGGATGATGGCATTAAGGTCTGGGAGGCTATAAAGAGGTAAAAGACCATGGTTCTAGATATTGCCTAATAAAGTCACAGAGACACAGACCTCATCTTTTTCCTCCTCACTTTGATCTTCATGGTATCTTGTAAACAGTATCTGGGCTGGTTAGCCACTTAGTGCCTCTTCCATTCAGTATGTCTGAGGAAAAATATTTTGTCAAGCACACGCTCTTGAAAGACTGGTAAATTCTGCTTTTCTCAGTGCTGTTTCCTTGCATGCTGTATTTCAAAGGACCCTTTACAAATATGTACTCTTCTATAGGATTTCACAGAAATTTAGTGAGTCAGAATTTAGCCTGCAAAAGGAATTTAGTTATCCTTTTCTTTAGCTAGGCACAAGCCAAGAGAGTTCTCTGAGCCAGCCACGTGAGCTCATCAAGGTTCTTGTGGACTGAAATATAAGCTTGACTTCCATGATGGTTCTCTTTTGAAACTCAGTAAATTAGGTATAAACTGATTGGAACAAAACCTTTCTTAAAATGCCTTAAAATTTTGAAGTCTGAGTTTAATCAGAAGGGCAGCAATTCTGAGTGAGGAGAGATACTGCAAGGCTGCTTGACCTCACAATCATGACTTCTTTTCAGATATGAAACACTGCCTTGCATGATTTATATGATTTTTATTCTGCAGTGGCATTTAATTTAACAAACAACGTATTTTTGCATGGCATAAGTTGCTTACCAAATATGCAGCTGTTTCTGATCACATGACTTTTGAAAAGCATGATCATTAAAAATCAGATCTTTTGTGTACACAAAGTAGGAGTTTTATGATGCAAGGATAATGTTAGAAGTTCTGGGGACATCTTTGTCTCATGTGTTTCCTCTATGTTTTTACAAGGGCTTATCTTGCAATATTTCCTGCAACTGTGAGTGCCCATTTGAGAGAAAAGGAAGTTGTAACTTTGCTGTGGTTGTTTTCTTCATGTAATATATTTTTTTTTTTTTTTGCCCTCCCTGTCTTTCCTGTGTTTTCTTTGTGGGTTGAGATATGCCTTTCAAATACCAGGTAATACTTAGTCAACTCAATTCAGTTTGACCGTTTGTGGGTGTTGACCTTGGTGGAGGGTGATGTTACACTGCCTCACTTGGCTGAGAGCTGTGAATCATTTGGTTCATAAAAGGTGTGGGCAGTACCCTTCTGAGTGTGTGAGATCCTGACCCATGAACCCATGGTCATGCATGTGTCTGCTCACCAGGAATCTCCTGCCCTCTGCAGGGGTATCAGTCTTTTTTGATGAAATAATTTCTATCCCCAGCATTACTTCACATGGCCTAGGCCCGAGGAAGCTGATAAGGTTGTTCCCATAGAAACAATGAGTCTCACACTGCAAATATGTAAATCCTCTAGTCCTTTTCCTGTTTCTGATCTAACTGCAGATAGATACACCAACCCAAAGATGCTTCAGCCCAAAAGGTCTCACCAACACTTCATATACTAATTTCTATTTTTATGGAAGGGGGTCTGAAATACTGCCATTTTTTGAGAGGAGGATCCCCTTCCTGGGCATGTATATGGGCATGCATCTGGCACCAGTGCCAGATGCATGGAGACAGAGCTCCAGGAGAGCAGCTTTATCTCTGCATGTTGCAAAGTTTTTGTTTTCCTTTAATTTCCTCTGGAAGCTAAAATTACTTAAACTTTTGGTGTTTATTCAGTTATTTGTCTGCCTCAATGACAACTCTTGATTGGCGGATTTTTTTGATTGATAGATTTGTAAAAGTCTCCAGATTGCAATAAATTTAGAAAATGTATAAATTTATATTTTATTAAGGGATAAATCTCTGTTGGGTAAAAATTCTTAATCCCATCAGTCAGCTTCTACAATCAAGTGTTTCAACCTATGGGTTGTTGTCAAAATATTTAGCAAGAGATTTAGCAAGGTACCTGCAGAGCTAACAAGACTGTCTCAGCACAGCTCCATTAACCAGTCATTCAGTCATGAACTGCAGTTCTTCAGGAAATCAGGATTTCCTATTTTCACTGCTTTCAAAACTACTTCTGTTTTCTTAGTGCTTTCAGAGCCTTTCTTTCCGAGTTGAGCTGGCCTGGGAAGCTTTCATAGGAAGAGGCTTCTTGAGAAGAGGAACTGAACAGGAAGATGTCTGCTGTGAACAGTGGGCATAGGAAATATCTCTAGACCTCTTCTTCCCAGGAGAAGTTTAGCATTAAGTATTATGTAATACATGTAATTTTAAGTATTTCACAAGAAGGATATCCAGTGGGAGAGGTCAGCTTTGGAGTGTCCCACACACAGGGAATGGTACTGGTATCACAGTTTGGGAACCCACTGCACAGTGTGGGAGCCATGTGGATATGCAAGAGGGAGTCTGTATGGAGTGAGGAAAGGACGTAGATGTGATGACAGAGTTCTGTGCAGGAGCAAAGCCTCAAATAAGAGATGAAAGTGCACAGGATTTTTCAGGGGTTTCTGTGTGGTCCAGGATCTATTTGTTGGGGGAAGAAGTGATGCTACAGTCCTAAATGAATCAAAATTGCCTATGTTAATTCCCACTGCTTGTAGGATAGGAGATAAGAAGATTTTGAGACCTTCTCTTGCCCTTTTCCTTTCCCCGTGTAGCATCTGCAAGGTCAGAAGATCATCTTCTGGAATGGCAGACTTTCATTCTCCTTTTCATTTCATTTTGTTTGTTTGTTCCGATCTGCAGTTTTGCAGAGGATGTAATTCACATCTACTATGAGAGCGACGAGGTGGTGTGTGAGGATGTGGAGCTGCAGGCCTTTGTCAAAGACATCTATGTCTATGGAATGAGGGGTGTGAAAGCCTCAGGTAAGGTACGACAGCCCAGCCAGGGCTGCAGCTTGTCCAGTCCCTGCTGACAGCAGTGCTGAGTGCACAGCACAAGTTAGAGACCTGCTCTCTTCTTGGGCTGAAGATGCTGGGTTTTATTGTGAGACCCTGGCTCAGGCCATCTCTCAGGAGGCAGCTCCTTCCTTTGGCACAAATTCCCATAATGAGCTTGAGCAACTCGTGTAATTTCTCTGCACTGGGGACAGGTCCTTTGATTTTGTCTGCTCATGCTTTAAGCATTAGGGGCTGTGTCTGTGTGTGTTACAGCCACCAGGCAGACTGACAGACATCAAGGAGCAGTGAGGCCCCTTGAATCCTCTCCCCCAAACCTCACACTAAATAAGAACATGTAATAACCTCCCCAGGAATATATTGCTGCCTTTCACATTTGTTCATCATTTGTGTCATCATTGAACTATTGTACTCTCTTCAAGAACAGACACTCAACATTTCCAAGAAATATTTTTCTTTGATCTGTCTCTTTTCTCTGCCTCTCTTTTCTTGCAAACCATTACTTGGCCATGGGAGCTCTCATCCATAACATGCCTCAATTCACCTACCTGTGTAAATACTCCCCTGTCATTCCCTAAACATGTTGCTTTTCTCTTCCACACACATTTTTGCCAAGCAGATTTTCAGGAATTTATAGAGGTGGCTGGGGATTCTTCCTATTGTCCTGTCTAATTTAAATCTGTTAACACCTGTTGGCCAGTGGCCTAGGACAGATGGCTCAGCTGTTGCATACACACATTGGAGTGCCAGATGTCCCGGCAAAAGTGTGATGTTTCCAATCATTATGGTCTGGTGGATAAAAGCCTTCTGGGTTCTATCTGCCTGGAGAAGCAAAGGTTCATTTTTGTTTGTCTAGCTGTCTCTTAGCAAAAGCTTAGAAATGTTGTTTCTCCTGGTAAGAATGAGACAAGTACTGAGCCTTCCAGGTCTCCAGCTGGGGTGGGATGCTACAAGCACCACTGGTGGGAGGACTGCCACTACAGATGGGAAAACCTACCAGACTTGCAGCATCTCTTTCTGCGCTGCTGCTGCTCCAAGGGTTGTATCATAGAGCATGGAGATTTGGCAGGGTCTGTAAAGAATGGGAGGAGACTAAATGAGGGAGGCTGTGGCACCTGTTTCTTCCCTGGGAGGGCTGCTGTGACTGGGAGAATGCCAAACTCCTTTAAAGATGAGCACAGTGTACTTAGAATAGCAGAACACAGAAGGGGATGGTACCTCTTCCCTCTTGCAGGCTGATGTCTGCATCAGGTTGGCAGTGGAGATGTGAAGCAGCTGGCACAGGCAGCCTGGGCAGGGGCAGCTTGCCCCTGTCTGTAGGTATACTGGGACCAGTGGTCATGTTGGGCTGGGACAGGGGGTACAGCACAGGACTGTGATTTAGTGAGGAGAGGAGTGATACAGGGCTGGGGTTGCTTCAGTTGCAAAATATTTACCTAGTCCCTGACTATTCTGCTTTTTCTTTATATAACTCTGATTATTCTCCTTCAAAGACAGCTTAATGCAACTATTTCTGTTCCTCATTGTGTTTGTTTTTCAGAAGTTCTCATTTCCTCACTTCCTGTTTCAGTGAATAAACTCTCCCTGCACTCTTTCTTGCAATACACTTGATTGCTGAACCTTTATAAATACAAGCATATGGTTGCTTCCTCCTTGGCATGAACCTTCCCTGTTTGCACTGCAGACTGAAGAAAAATGGAGCATCTGAGGTCTCTGCCCTCAGGGACCTGGGAGTTTCTTGCTGCAGGGTAGGTAGGACAGGGATACTGTTTTTTAAAGGCATAATTATATTTTTTCTTTCTCTTATGAAATACCACATACTTTGCACACATTGGTGATGCCTCACAGACTTGCACAAAGCAAGGCTGTTTTTACAGCTGCACAGCCAAGGCACAGAGAGGTGAGGAGCTCCTGTTAGACCTCACAGCAAGATCCATAGAATGCCCTGCTCTTCAGTGACTGCTGCATAGCCCTCTAACCCATGGGTTTTGATTACTGCTGGGTGGCAGGGTTACTTCATTGCTGGGTCAAACTTTTTTTCTCCCTCATTTAGGGTTCCCTAAGATGATCAGGACACGAGAGACACTAGCAGAATATCTCACAGTGATCATGTTCACTACATCGGCTCAACATGCAGCTGTGAATTTTGGTCAGGTAGGAACTTGTGGGAGAACTGTTCTTCTGTCTGGGCTGGGAGGTACATCTACCAGGGCAGGGTCTGAGAAGCATTTTTTAGTAGATGTATAGAATTACTTCTTTTTCTGGTCAAAATAACTGTAGAGCCAACTACAAATCCCTGTGAAGTCTGTGGAAACTGAAGTAATTTGGAAGCTGAGAAAGGCATTTCAAGTCCTGCATATGTACCAAAGATCCGATTAGGGCTTCTCACTTGTATATTTTAGTTTTATTGATTTTATTACAGGAATATTTTTTTTAAGCATTTAAATGGCATTGCTGCTCATTTCTTGCATTTACAAACCAAGTGGCAACTTTGAGCTTCCTCTGATGTTTGATGTGTCACATACTGATAACCTGTGTTATTCCTGCCTGCCTTGACTGACATATATCTGCCCTGAAACTATAGTAACAACCTGTCTTCCAAATGCTGTTTCTTTCAACATCAAGGCATTTTGGAAAGCAGATTTAACAGCCAGAAGCAAATCACTTTGTCAGCTACAGAGCTTTTTCACTGAGTGGGTGGTCAGTCACTGGAGCAGGCTCCCCAGGGAAGTGGTCACAGTTCCAAGCCTGTCGGAGTTCAAGGAGCATTTGAATGATTCTCAGTCTGATAGGTTAATTTTAGGTAGTTCTGCAAGGATTAGGGATCAGAGAGCTGGACTAGATGATCCTTATATGTCCCTTCCCACTTGAGATATTCTATGATTTTATGAGCTTTTTTTTTTGTGTGTGTGTGTGTGTATATTCTCACTTCAGGCATAGGTGCTCTCTGATATATCATCTCAGAGATAAGCAGAGAGACCATCTTTCTTATGGTAGTTATTCCCAAATACCCTACATCCCTTTTTATGCTGACCCTCCTGTCCACCCCTGCAGCTCAGGAGAAGGTCTGGAACCTGGTGTCTATAGAACTCACACTATTGCTGTGACATGTCCATGACCAGGGACCTCTGCAACTGCTCCCCTCTAACCTGTTTTTACAACTGATTGAGACAACTCCCACTGCCTCCCTCAGAAAATCCTGTCTGTTCAAGTACCACCAAGACATCATCTCCTAATTTCACATACAGAGGATATGCAACCCATCAGTAAAAGTTCTTCAACCATGGAATCAGAAGGCAGAGAGGGCTGAGGGGGGGATGAGGAGGTGGCTGTGCACTTCCCCTCAGGCAGAGCAGGGGATGGGGATGAAGGTAATGAAAAAGTGCTTGGGAAAGAAAGAGTTCTGGTAACTGCAGCATCTTAGATGGTGGCAAATCTCAGGGTCATATCTGAGGCAAAATGAGACATCAGCATCTCACAGCACTGAACCAGGCCAGAAGCGACTATGAGTTCCCAATCTGCTGCTCACCATGGCCATATCTGCATGCCATATTCCATATTTCTTGATGCTTTATCTCTGTTAGTATCTGACCACATTCACTGTGGGCATGTTCTTGGAGGAAATTTAGCATAAAAGAGAAGCTGGAGTAAAGGCGATTGCCTCAGGTTATCAGAAGGGAACTTTGTTTAATAAAATATTTAAGGCCTTAGCCAGTCTGTTGAATTTGGGCTGTGTGGCACATGCCTGTGGTTAGCAGAATAAATACTCCCATTCAGATTACCCACCTCTCTCTCTTGTGAGCTCCTGAGCAAAACAGTAGGGACTTCCTTGTCACCTCCAGTCCTTCTCGAGGACTTCCCTGTCCTTAGTATCTTCTCTTTTTGAGGGGCTCCTATTACAAAAGCAGACTCCCTATTGGAAAACTCCTGATTTTCTTTGGTGTGTTCCTCAACACCAGCCCCTGCAGGTTTTCACTGTGGTCTCCTGCTCTGTTGTGCAGTATGACTGGTGCTCCTGGATTCCCAACGCCCCACCAACAATGCGCTGCCCTCCTCCAACAGAAAAGGGCACAGTCACCATCGAGCAAATTGTGGAGAGTCTGCCAGACAGGGGACGATCTTGTTGGCATCTTGGAGCTGTCTGGGCCTTGAGCCAATTCCAGGACAAAGAAGTAAGTCAACCTCCCTGCTCTAGGCACTGGAGATATGAGACCATGAGGGCCATGGCAAGACTGCACAGTCTCATGAGACTATAGTGCCGCCCTGTGCTTGACTTGGCCATTTTTACCTTTCTGTGGAGATGTATCAGTGCTGTGGGTTTGCCTGTGTTCTGCCAGATGCAAACTGGCTCTGAGAAAATACTTGTATTTTTACTCTGAGGCTGTTTCAGTTATATCAAAGTTTTTAAGCTTGAGCATGGCATTGCTTAGAAAGGATGCTGGTGTGGGAGACGGTGGGCTGCAGAGGCATAAGAGCTGTCCCTGCAGTGCTGGGGAAGAAGGTACAGCAGTGCTGTGTCCCCATGTCCTGTTGCTTTGGAAAATCTGCTCCAGTGCCATGTGCACTACAGCTGTGGCTTGTGCCTGGCAGGTGAGGAGTGAAAACAAAACAAGCCTACAGAAGGCTTTGCAGGCATGTAAATCCATGCATGGCAACAGGACTGTAACCGTTTCCCTCGCGTAAAATGAGGTTGTAGGTACCTGGTTGTTTCACACAAGGGCTCTGGAGAATGTGTTTTGAAATTCTTAAATAGAAGATGATGGACAGAGCATACTTTAAATTCAGTTTCTCTATAAGAAGAAATCAGTACTAGCAGAGAAGCTTGTACTATGGGAAATAGTTCCCAAAGTGCCCAAAGCAATGCCAGTGTGCATATTGGCAGTGCACTTTTCAGAGCACCCTTAGAGTCCAAGCTGACTAAAGTCAACCTATGACTAATCACGTCAAACCTAAGACTAACCTAAGTCAAACACAACTAACCTGTCATATTGAACTCTGAAGGACAGTTGAAGTCAAGAGAATCTTCCACTGCCACTGAATGAAGTAGTCATTTTCCTTTTTAACCTCTGGCTGTGAATTCCCCTCTAATGCTATCTCTTTTTTCTAGCAGCATAAATGTTTGTGTGACTATACAGAGATCTGGCTTGGCAAGCTCGTCTGACTGACCACTGGCCTGAATAAAAGTGCATTCAGTGAATAAAAGTGTTTTCAATGGTTGACGTCTCTTTAGGTCAAGGAGGGCCATGTAGACACCTGAACCAGCACCACAGAAAGATGCAGGGATGCAAAGAAGCAGCCAGCAATAGAGGAAGGTGTAGACTAGCTTAAGTATTGATAATACTACTTTAACAGAAGCATTTGTGAGGAGAGGCTCTGGGTGGCGTTCTGCCAAATGGTACAATTTTGAAAACTAATTGCCTTCTCAAAGCATCGTTTTTTGGTGTTTTTCAATCAGCTATTTCTGGGCATGTACCCAGATGAACACTTTGTGGAGAAGCCCGTGAAAGAGGCTATGGCAAAATTCCGCAAGAATTTGGATGAGATTGTCAACACCATCACCGAGCGCAACAAGAACAAGAAGCTTCCTTACTACTACCTTTCCCCAGATCGTATTCCCAACAGTGTTGCTGTTTGAGCACATAGCCAGGAGAGTTTGAAGGCCTGTAAAGCTGATGATGTTTTTCTGTTATATGCTTCTTCAATTAGTTTTTCAGAAATGGATAAAAAACCCACCTTCTCCATCAGAGCTTGCTTAAGTCTATTTGAACTTTCAAAATAAATTTGGTTATGACCAATCTTGCAAACAAAATCTAACTGATAACCCTTTAGGTCAAATTTGTTACAAATTTATTTTTTCCAGGATTTTTAAACTAATCTTACAATCAATAGATGTGTTATCTTTCCCTTTCCTTGTCAAAACAATGTAATCACAGATTCACTTACTCAATGGAAATAATATAATGAGCAACAAGCAAGTCACATTTTAAAATCCTTCCTGTGTTTAATAGGTGACATTGGTGACATAAAAAAATAACATGTAAAGTTTATGCATGGTTTTGAATCTGATTAATGTCAAGTATTTTCACTACCATCATGAATATCCTAATCAGGATGAAGGTAGAAGCAGGAAATTTTCTTGACAGAGCTGATGGGTTTTATCACTTTCTTACCAAGTTCATGTGAAATGATATAGGAGATGAAAATTTTGTAGCTACTTAAACTTAAGTATTTTCTACATAAAACTAGGAAGGTTTGTTTTAGCCTCTGCCAGCAGAGTTTGGTGCCATTTACATGTAGGGACAAATGTTCTTCTCAAGGCAGTGTCAGCAAGTACAGACCTAGCAGAACCTCTGCTCAGTTTGTTTCATTGCTCAGGCCGCTGGGGTTTGTGGACAGTTTCTTCTGTTTTGTGGGGAATGAAGAGGCTACTTTGTATAATGGAAAAATTTGTGGAGAATGTTTAATGGACAGCTTCTAAGAGCAATCTTTAGATTTGGCCAATTAAGCATAACTGGCATGTTCCATCTTAGTTATAAACCACTGAGGTTTGTCTGTTTTGTTTAGAGCTGTTTATGTTCAAACTCTTGAGCTCTGGTAAAAGTTGAGAAAATCACTTAAAAAAAGCAAAATTGAGGTTTATGAAATTGAAGTTGCGGTTTTGCTGATTAGAATTTGGGTTTATTTTTGTGAGAATTTGTTCCTTGTACTTGATCTGCCAGCATGCAGCGTGTTTTCTCTATAGATAAGAAAGTTTCTTGTGCCAATAAAATGAAACTGAACATCTAACTTCTATTTCCTAGTTCGACATCTAATGCTATATGGCTCAAAAACCTTGTAAGAATAAACATAATGTGCTGTGTAGAGAAATGAAGCTTATGTCATTGAGAAGTATAGTTATTTCTATATTTCATGTGTGATTTGGGAAATAGTACTACTAAAATATACATCGTCTCTTATTAAACAGGTGTGGAAACTGATTTTAGATCCTTTACAGTAGACTGATTCCTGTTTTTTTACCCCCATCCAAAGACTTCCAGAAAAATGTAGAAGGAAGACCATTTCCTATTATTGAGTAGTATACTTGTAAGTTATGCATCATCTTCTCACTGCAGCCCATGAGAACTGATGAGTGCAGAAGCAGAGTAAAGCAACATGCAATAGGACCAAGGAATCAGAGACAGCTTGTGAGCCCACTGCCTTGAAAACAGACAAGTGCATCTTAAATGCAACAAGCTGATGCAATATATCCAGCATGTTAGCTCCTACTTCTGTCTTTCTACCACATACAGGGAATGTCATCTTGCTTCAGCTTTCGTTTGATAATGATTTGCATAGTCAAGTATCTGTTTAGAAAACAAAATATGGAAGGAGACTGGTGGATGTTCTCTCACATCTGTGCACTCTACTGTATCCTGTGAACCTGGGATATAAGTGCAGTTGATGGAAGGTTTGGGAATTAAATGCGTAGTTTTGAAAATTGGGATTAGCATCTGATTCAACGGCAGGAAAGGCTGTGGAAAGAGATAAAGAGGTAAAAACTAATAATGGCACGAGAAAAGAAGCAGATACCTGCAAATAGTAAAGTGCTTACTCTTCCAGGATGTCTGGGTGTACATGTTGCTGTCCCACTCTCAGCTCCCTTTTCAGCTTGTCTCCATCTCTCAGAAAATCATCTTCCTGTGCACAGGCCATGGGTTCCTTCCCCATGTCATTAGCCATGACTTGCTCAGAGCTGTCTCCTAAAGTCGTGGAACTAAGGCACAGTACCCACTTGCAGGCTTTCTCCAAAGTGGAAATGAAAGTATCAGCTCCCTCTGAAGTGTGTCGTGCACTCAGCTTGTGATTAGAGCTGGATGTGCATCGCCCCAGCTCTTCCAGGGTTTGACAGCAGCTGGTGTCTTGGCTGGGCAGCTGTTGCTGCTGGCCAGTCCAAGGGAATGTAGCCTGACTCCTCAACTGAGTCTTCTGTGCTGGAAAATCAGTTGCAGTGATTCTCTACTGGCTGGAAGATTGAACTTCTTCCAGGACGTCCTGCCAGCATATCTGAACCAGCTTTCCTCTCTTTGCAGGGTAAATTTAACTCTATAAACTACTTTTTGTATGTAGGGTTGTCCCTTTCCCAACCCCCAAACATACCTTGCAATAATATGAGTGTCACTGCCCCAAAAACAAAGCCTTCATATTTCTTTGTCATCCCATATGAAGGAAGCTACACTTTTCCCATCAATCCCCATTTTACATGTGGGGAAATGGAACAAGAGCAATGAAATTCAGTAGATCAGCTCTGATTTAAGGTTCATCCTTTACAGAGGGACTGTGAGAAAGTTGTGTATCTGAAGCATGCTAGTTTTATCCTTCTAGAGAGCGGACAACAAGTTCAGACTTGGTTGCTCAGAATTACTTGCTCTGTTGTGCATTGAGCAGAACATAAAATAAACCCCCAAATATGTATTTCAACCAGCAGCTGCCCTTTCCTGCTACAGTAATAGCAACATGGTATCCAAGAAGAAATTACACACTCTGAGATAATATCACCAGGGCACAGTTTGCTTTATTTATATTATAAAAAGGCATAAATATTGCACAAACTGGTATGGCTGGTACATTTAGAGGTTAACTGAGTCATGGGTTTATGGCCAGAAGATGAGGGTTTGATTGCTTAGACTGATCTCACCATAACACAGGCAGCTGGATTTCCCTGAAGCATTTCCCTCTTCAAATTCAATACAGGGGTGCTTGATCTAGGAATCATCTGTGAACACATCCACTCACAATGTACCAAAACATGATTCACCCTGGTGCTTGAGACACTCGTCTCACTGGTGAATCCCTCATGCTGTGAAAGATAAATGCTGTGTTTCTAGTTCAGTGTGCATTCTAGCTTCACATCTTGCAACAGATGGCATGCTTCTTGCAGCAGCCTTGTGTGACTGAAAATCCTCCTCTGACCACGTTCCCTACTACATGCTTCCCCTTTCTTTTGATAAACTGAATAATTTCCTGAGCCTTTTGCTGTAAGACTTACTTTAAACCTCTTATCTGTTACCACTGTGTGCACAGTGTGTGGGCAGATGACAATGATGATTAAATGGCTATTTCAGTCATTACTTCATAGGCTGCAGTTCCTTGTGCTTGCAGCTATGTATCTGCTGTTTTTCCATAGATTTTTGTC